CCCTGCTCCTCCACTTTTTCAGTCTCTCCCTGCTCCTCCACTTTTTCAGTCTCTCCCTGCTCCTCCACTTCTCCAGTCTCTCCCTGCTCCTCCACTTCTCCAGTCTCACCCTGCTCCTCCACTTCTCCATGGGCAGTGCAAGGGCAGGGCCACCGTGGCTTTTCCACGTTTGGAGCCCCAAATCCCCCCAAAAATACCATTTACTTGGTGTTTTCCAAACAGCCAAACTGCTGACCAAGACAAAAGGTAGTTAAGCGAGGAAGGAAGGGAAGAAGTGTGAGTTGTGGTGCTGGGCTGTGGGAAAGCTTTGCTGGTCCACAGAGGTGACAAAGGGAGAGCAGAGCAGTTGGAAAGAGGGAAGTTTTCCAGCTGAGTCAGTGGGAATGGAAGGACTGGCTTTGCACTTGGTCCTGTGCCAAACCAGAGCAGAGACAGGAGGAGGCTCCTTCCCAGACAGAGCTTTTCAGGTATGAGATACAGCAGGAAAAGCAGCCAGGAAGGATTTCTGGTGATCTTTCTGAGGAGTTTCCTTTTTCTGCTGCATTTCGTGGACATTTGTTTTCCTTTAATGGAGGGAACTGTATGGGAAGGGGATTTGAGAGTGATTTTGCCCTTGCACAATATTGGGACCTGAAGTGTTTTTGTAACTCTGAGATCTGTTTTCTGGCTGCCAGCAGATGAACACAGGTAATATTTCCTTGTTCTGTTGTTAAGGTTATTCACAGATATGATTTAGGGAGGGATTTCTGTCCAGTTTACTACTAAGCTTTAGATCCAGTTTTATTGCAGGGTAACAGGAGAAATTCCAGCAATCAGAGCAATTACTTTTCCCTTAAATAAACAGTGCTGCCAGAAATTTGGAGCAGGTAATATAACTCTGGGTATGAAGCACAGTAAAGGGGAATTTACCTTGTCATAGCTTTTCCTCACTATTTTTGTATCCTGGAACAAGGATCTGGAGTCGTGTTCAGGAAGAAGCGTAGCAGCAACACGCCAGGAGATTTTTCCAAGTGTGTTCTCAGGACATCTGTAGGGAATGAGAAAGGCAGAGAAACGTGGGAATAGAGAAGAAGGATGGGCTGCTTCCAGGGGAAATGAGAATTGCTCTGAACAAGACATCCCTCATGATAACTTGTTCAGAGGCAGCGCGTGATGCTCTTGTTGTAAATGGTTACGGATCCAGTGAGTAGCTATTCATCATCCCCTGCCTGTGCTCTGCTTTCCACATGGAAATCACCCCTGGAGTCTGGGCTCTGCACCTGCTGCCTGTGCTCTGTATCCAGCCCTGGGTTTTTATCGGGTTTGGGATAAGCTTGTGAGAGTGAGAGGAGGAAATCCCTGGCACTGAGCAGCAGTTCCTTGTACAAACCTCCTGTCAGCAGCAAACGCCTCTGGGTGACTTTGGGTGTCTAAATGTGCCTTAAAACTGAGTCTGTCCTCAGAGGGCAGCATTATGGGAGGGGGGCTGATGGATTTTTATTTGAGGATATCCCAAACCAATCCTTCCTTCAGCCTCCAAGCACTGCCTTAGCACAGCCTCAGCTCAATGCACGTGAGGATCCCTCTGTTTCTATGAGAGGTCACTATTTCTATTCTTTTTCTAGAACTATATGGTTCAAAACATGGGAAGATTCCCACATGGGACTTGGTTTCAGAGTTTTGGTTCATGAGAAGCATGGAGAGTTTTAGTTTAGTAAAGTATCTTTATTTACAGAACGACTTTACAAAAATAATTTCAATAAAATTATCACAAAGTCCATTTACAATATAATACAGCTGCATTTTCTCCCAATGTAACATCAGATTATGATGGGGAATATTACTTTGATATCAATCCATGGCATAAATAATGATTTAAACAAGGAGCTAGTTTTGTTATAGTCTACAAATGACTAACAACGATTAATAAACAACACATTTCTTGACTTAGGTGGTTCCTCTGTACAATTCACATTAATGCTGTAGAGCCCGAGGGCTGGAGGAGCCTGGAAGATCATGGAGTCAGGAATGGTTTGGGTTGCAAGGGACTTTAAAGATGATCCAGTTCCACCCCCTGCCATGGGCAGGGACACCTTCCACTAGCCCAGGTTGCTCCAAGCCCCATCCAGCCTGGCCTTGGACACTCCCAGGGATGGGGAATCCACATCCTCTGCCTGTTCTGCAGAGAAGGGTCAGGATTCCCTCAGCAGGGATGTCGGGAGCACCCTCTGACTCCCGAGTGTCCACGGTGCTCTGATCCATCAGAAAACACTGTGCTGGACAGACAGAGCTGCCAGACCTCAGGAACAGCTTTTCCAACGTCATGCCTTGATGTGTGGGATCTTTTCAGTGTTTTCCCAAAACAGCAGGCAGAGATCCGACCCCCATCTCCACAGTGCCTCTTTTTGTAAACTTGCAATGCTGATCTTCCTTGGGAATTTGGGACGTGGGCTCCTACAGCTCTGTTCAGTTGGAGTGTTGGGGTTCAGCTCTTTGGGAAGTACATTCTCTGTGCAGAAGGTGCCGTGCCAGGGTTTAGGACACGTACTGGGCTCCTCCGTAGGGCAGAACCTCCGTGACCCCCCACCCCACCACGTTGCCCCTGGTGCCACACGAGCCCTCCCCGCTCTGTGCCGTGATCTCTGGGGCACTGAGCACTCTGTCCCACAGGTTGAAGCCAGTCAGTTTTCCAGAGAAGGCTAAAGCTTCATCAAACCCCCCTCCGACGCAGCAGCCGTTCTTCTCCTGCCCGATCTGCAGGATCCCCCCGTCGGGAATGGTGTGAGCACTGGCAACGTCCAGGGCACTGGCTGCCAGCTCCCCCTGCACCCACAGGGCTGCTGATCCATTCTCTGAGCTCCAGGTGCCACACAGATGGACCCACTTCCCGGGAATAACCGCATTTTGGGCAGCCACCTTGTGCTGGCCGCCCCCGACCACGAGCACCGCGGAGTCCTGGCGGAGGTAAAGCTGGATTTCATAGGGGTTGAACTTGGTTCCATAGGAGAAGACAATGGTTTTGTCCAAAGCCTCGGTCACCTTGATCCAGATGCAGGCAGTGAAGGAGCGAAGGGTCATTCCAGCAGTTGGGTGGACGCTCCCAAATATCTTTTTGGAGCGCATGGGGAACAGAATCGCGGTTTCACACCCTGGGGAAAATTAAAAACATCGTCAGGGAAATAGAAACTGGTCTAGTGCACAGGTGGGACCTTTGATATATCATAGAATCATTAAGGTTGGAAAAGACCTCTAAGATCACCAAGCTGTGGCTGCCCCATCCCTGGAAGTGTCCAGGACGAAGCTTGGAGCAACCTGGGCTAGTGGAAGGTGTCCCTGCCCATGGCAGGGGGTGGCACTGGATGGGCTTTAAGGTCCCTCCCAACCCAAACTGTTCCATGATGGGGCTTCCCAAGGGTCTGTATGGAGCAGTGCCTCCTGGAAGAGCAGCTCTTTTGCTGCCTCACCTAAAGAAATCAGCCTTAACCTGGGCAGTTATGGCAGTTATGACCTCCCTTAGCTCTTGGTTAAGCCTCAGAGTTCTTTTTAAGTATTAAATAGTGAAAATAACCTTGTGGTGAGGGGCTGGGGTGAGTGAGCCATCCAACAGCAGGTTTGGATACCGTGGCATTCCTGGGACAGAGTGGAGGCTGTGGCTGGAGGAGGGAATTGCTGGGCTGTGTCCTGAGGTTGTCTCATGGATAAATGGGCAGCAGGGGAGGACAAGAGCTACCAAAAAGTAGCACAGGGAGTGTTGGCAGGAATGTGCTGAGATGGGCCTATTTGTTTAATACAACTCCCTTTCCTGATCCTGCCTTTAGGATTTTTGGTCAGTAACATTCCTGGGCACTGGGTAAATGTGGGAAATGCATAAGACGACTCGTGTTTTTGAAACAGTTCATCTCTCATGTCTCATTAATCAGGGTGTTGATAATAGAAATTAGGTTAGTTAAAACCACTGACAGGACTCTAAGAAGCTTGGAAAAGTAGCTGATGATCACTAAAGCCAAGGCACTTTTGGCATTTTATGTGCTGTTCCCTAGTTGTCCATAACTTAATGTTCAAGGTGACACGGGAGAAGAATCAGCCCCTTCTCCAATTAAGCCGCTTCATTTCCTGTCTAAAGGAGCTGGAGGATCTGAAATGCCTGAAACGTGTGTGGAAATCTGTGCTCCAGGGAATGAAGGACTCTTTGTGCCCTCCAGGATTGCTCTGCTCTGGTATTTCATGGGCTGCTTCCCTCCAGCTTCCAGCAGATTTTTACATCTCTCCACTGGCCCTTTTGAGGAGGGGCAGGGTAAGCGAGCAACTGCTGGGGATGCTCCTTAAAGTGCTACTTAGCAGCACTATTGTGAAAAAGCTTTTAATTAGCGGGCTTTCAGGCTTTATTATCAAAGCCTAAACAAAATTAAAACCAGCCTCAGCGAAGAACAAAAAGTGTGATTAGAAAATCCCTCAAGAATACGGGCTGGCAGGAATTCAAGACGTGAGAAATTAAAGTCAGTTGCTAAAAATTCCCTAGAAAAAAATAAACCCAGAAGAGGGGCTCTGGAAGTACTTAAAATGTAGCCTTTAAATTGAAAAATGTGAAGGTTTTATATAAAATCATGTAGGAACCAGTGGAAATAAAGTGAATTTCCAGTGATGAGGTTGAGATGCTCGGTGCAGATCGGGTTTGTTGCTCTCACCTAGTGCAGAGCAGCTGAGTGAGGCTGGCTGGGCTACAGGAGAAGATAAGGAATGAGATCATGCTCTGGAAGGCAAGAGGTTTGTGTTTGGGGAAAAGAGGAATATGCTGTAAGATGTACCCCCAGTACATAGAGATTACTGAGGTGTTGTGATAAAGGAGTGAAAGCGATTTACTCTTAGCACTGACTGGGTGTCTGCCATGAAGGGACAGATTCAGGTGAGCTCATAAAGCGCTTTGATGGGAATTATGTCGTGTCTGTGGAAGTTTAGCAGTCACAAGCTGTTCCTTCTTGCTCCCCTGTGTAAGATCTCACTCAGGAGATGCTGCTGCAGGTCTCTGGTAAGGCTGGTGTGGCTGCACTCCCACCTCCCCGCACCCCCACTCCCACAGGACTCTCTGAGCGTAGATTTCTGTGGGGCTTTTAAGCTGTAATAACTTAGATTTGTGGAAAACACAGCCATTAGTCAGCTTTTAGAGGCCAGGCAGTGCCAGCTCACTGATATCCAGTGTAGCTGTGCCATGCATGTGGCAAATTGTGCACCCACACTTCAAACAGGTAAGGGGCTGCTCTGCCACAGCCAAGTTGCTTTTTTGGGGTGTCTCATTGCACTGCAATAGAAAACTGATGTGGAATTTGAGGTATGAGCTCATCTTTCTGTGGTCACCTTGCTCGCTGAGCAGTGGAAATGCTTTGGAAGGGCAAAAATTCCCCAAAACCACCACCCCAGGGTTCCTAATGTATCCATCCAGAGGAAGGACTCTGCCCTGACTGCTGGGTGCAGGGGATGTGCCCTCCCTGCTGTGGGGGTGTGCCTGGCTGGCTGACACCAGTCCTCTGCTCTGGGGCAGCTGGAGTGGGTGAGGAGGTGTTAATTTAGGGAGAGGAAGGAGTGGGAACATGCAGGGAGAGAAGAGGAGGGCTCAGTAATGCACGTGCAGAGGTGTTACCAGCTGGGCAGGTAAAAGGTGTGAGAACATAATTTGGATGTTTAAAACATGTTTGCTGAGCTGTTTTGATCTGGGAGAGCCTGGACATGGGATCCTGGCTGGCTTTGCCCTGTGTAAGGACTTGGATTAAGCCCTGCTTTGACCCCACCTTTGAGAAGCTCAGCACCTCTTTTCCCAGAAGTTAATGGGTTTCCCCCCTTTCTGCACAGACTGTTTTAAAGCTGCCCTGCTGTTCCTAAGGTTTCTTTGGAGTCCTGTGGAGAGAGGGAGGTGCTCAGGAGGGTGTTTGTAGGGTCCCTGTTTGGACAGACCCCCAGGGAGCTCAGGTAAAGCTCCCCTGGACTCACCTGCTGGCAGCAGGTGCTGAGCTGCCCATTGCTGCGACACCTTCAGCTCCGCCCGGGTCTGTTGCAGCTCCTTCCACAGCGAGTTCAGGAGCAGATTGTCCCCTCTGGTGGCATCCAGTTTGTCCTGCTGCAGAGCTGTCTCCTGCTCCTCAGCCCTGCCCAGCCAGGCGCTCTCCAGCCAGCCCAGCTTCACGGACACGTTGTGGCTCAGCTGCAGGACGTGCTCCAGAACCTTCCCCTGCTCGGACTCCTGGAGCCTCTTGGCCTCTTCAGCTTGGTCCCTGCTCCTCACCAGCACCTGCTCCACCCGGGACACGATGTGGGAGGTGACCCTGTCGAGGGTGGCGGCGAAGGAGCCGGCGAGGTTGGTGGTGAGCTGGGCCAGCTCTGCCCTCAGGGTCTGCAGGTCCACCCTGGGGAGCTCGTCCAACGCCTGCAGCATCATGTTCTCCTTCATCTGCGAGTTCTCCAGCATGATGAACAGCTTGTCCCACTCCGTGTGCTCCCGCTGGCAGTCGCACGAAGCAGCTGGAAGGGAAGATACAGATGTTGCAGTTCCTTTGTACTTAGTTTTAAACAGAAGGAGTTTTGACAAAAATCTGGCTCTGGGCGAGGCTTATGTGCTCCAGACTGTCCCAGAATCGTGGAATTACAGCTTGGGTTGGGTTGGAAGGGACCTTAAAGACCATCTAGTTCCAACTGCCCTGCCATGGGAGGGGTGAGTGCATTTCCCTCTATACAGAAACAGAAAAGTAAAATAGTGTGTTTTAAAGAAATTCTAAAACTGTCATTGACAGTCTCTTGCAGAAAAGCTGAAAAATTAAGAATATAAAGCAAATTCCAAGGTACCTCATCCCAGTGCTTTTAGCACTGTTATCCATAATAACCCACTGATACAAGCACAGGCATCTCCCTCTGGAAAAAAACGTTTGCAATAATAACTATTGCAAGAGCTGGGCAACAAAGAATGCAATCCTGCATTTCCACAGCTTCGGTTTAAATTCACTTACTTTCCTCGGTGCCAGGGGCTGGAGCCTCAATCTCGTTATCCAGGTTCACGTACATGAGGTCGTAGTCGTTGTCTTCATCCAGGGCAGAGCCCGAAGCCCCGAGGACACAGAGGAGGGTGAGCAGAGAGAGTATTTCTTGGGGCAGCATTCTCCCAGCCGCTTCCCGGAGATCCCTGGGCTGTGTCTGGAGCCGCGCTCGGGGTTTAGCAAGGCCAGGGCTGGGAGGGGAGCCCCTAATAAATGCTGCGAGCGCCTCAGCCCGAATGAATGAGCAGCCCCCGTGCCAGTGGTGTAACCGGAGCACTCGGGGCTGTTGGTTTTGGCCGGGAGAGGAGAAAGGGGGCGTGCAGTTTTGCTCAATCCCAGCCTTCCAGGTTCCACTGGGGGATGTACTGACTCGTGGAGGGGGGAAAAGCGGGGAAAAAGCCGCTCCTCGAGCCGCCGCTTTCCCCCCCCCGAGAGCGGATTTCTGAGACGTGCAGCAATGCAGGGGTGGAAGCGCTCGGAGTTCGCCGCCTGGATTGGCTGTGCCGGGCGGCGTTATTTTGGGGGAAAGAAAGGGCTCCCTGCGAGCTCGGTTTGTGCTCGGGGTGTGCCAGGGCTGGGGAGGGGACTGCGAGTAAAATAAACATACCTGGAGCTGCTTTGGGGGCACGTGGCTGGTTTGACTAAATAGTGCAGCTTTTTGGGATGGTTATGTGATGATATATAATTTCTATTATATACTCGAACTTTATTGCTTTAAGCAATAAAAGAGAACTCTTAAGGACAGCTTGTTAGAGTTTTGCTTTTCCAGCCCTAATTACCCCTAACCCCCCATAACTGTGTGGATAATCTGTTAGTGCTGGATCTGGTTTAGGGAGTGTGTAAATCAGCACGATCAGAGCTGCGTCTGTTACCTTTGAAAAAGCAAAACAAGGCGCTGTTGGATCAGACATTAATGTAGTGGCAGATTATTGGTGTTAATCTGGTTTGAATTCCATAATCTCATCAGTTCAGTGGGCCATTAATCATTTCAGAGATGCATTGCTTAGGTGAGATGAGGGATAATATGGTACAAATTATGTGTTGCCTATGAAATATCCAGAGAATAGCAAAAAAAACCAACCCATGTAATTATATCTAACTTGCAATGTGTGTTCCCTTTCCATTTGTGTCTCTGCTTTTGCTCATGCAAACCTGGGCTACCTGTGCCTTGGATATTGGGGAGAAATCCTTCCCTGGGAGGGTGGGGAGGCCCTGGCACAGGTTGCCCAGAGCAGCTGTGGCTGCCCCATCCCTGGAAGTGTCCAAGGCCCAGGTTGGACGGGGCTTGGAGCAACCTGGGATAGTGGAAGGTGTCCCTGCCCATGGCAGGGGGTGGGACTGGATGGCTTTTAACCCACTCAAACTCTTCTCTGACTCTATGATATGGGGGTTCCTGCCACTGTGGGCCCTCCAGCTGCTCTCCTGAGAATGTAAATAATAAATAGCAACATCAAAGCAATGTTTTAGAAACTTGAGAAGCCTGGTAAAGTAGAGGTGATTGTTATGTTCAGGAGGAATTTCTCCCTGGGAAGGGTGGTCAGGAACTGGCAGGGGCTGCCCAGGGAGGTTTGGAGTGCCCAAGGAAGGGCTGGATGTGGCACTCAGTGCTCTGGGCTGGGGGACAAGGTGGGGATGGGGCACAGGGGGATCCATGGGCTGGGAGGGCTTTTCCAACCTCAGTGATCCTGGGATTTTCAAGTAGGTATATGCCTGACTTGGGTTCCTCTTGGTGCACAGGCTTTGTCTTTGAATTCCCTCTTTGGAGTGAGGCTCAAACACAGCTGTGGGACTCTGAGAGCTCCTCTGTCCCTGTGATACTGCCATGTGCTCCCAGGCTCGTGGCTTTTCCCAAGCTCTCTGTGCTGCTGGGATGGGCTGGAGCACAAGGCAACTTTTGCCATTTCTGGGTGCAAGGAGGGCAGCAAGGAAGGGGTCTGTGGGGTGGGCTGGGCTGGCACCACCCCGACACACCCGTGGTGGTTCCTCCTCCTGCCTCTCAGCCATCGACTGTCCCCAACTGGAGGTTGGTTTGTGCCTGAGTTGCGTAATTCCCAGTGTGTGGTCTGTTGGAAAGTCTGAGAAAATCTAATCTGGAAAGTATTGGGGGTAAGGGAGGTGGGGATGGAAGAGGGAAGGAAGGTAATTAAGGAGCTGAGTAGGATGTTTTTCCATTCTCAGACAACAAACATGTTTTCAGGCTCTTGGTTTAGACTGAGGCAGACGAAGCAAGATTGGGAAAAAGTGAATTATTTGTAATACACAATATCATCTCTGGCTGCCTGTTATCTGAGAATCTAAAGGTTGGTGAGCTGTGTGTGTAAATCCCTCAGAGACAAAAAAAGGTGCGACAAACAAACAGCGAGAGGTACTCAGAGCTAACTCAAACATGAATATACCAAAGAGTAGCCAATTGGGTTGTGCCTAATGACCTTTCAGGAGCTCTGTGGAGAACAGACACGAGCTGTGGTATCTGGGGGATTGTTTACACGTGTGTATACACAGGTTATCCAGTTAAAAGCAATTCCCTGTCAGTGAGGTCACTTCAATATCGCTGCAAAGGGATGGGTTTGCTCCTAAATTGCCTTTGCTTTTCATTTATCTTGCTTAGTGAATATAAACCCAGCAGTGTTGGCTGCAGGAAGCTGCCCAAAATCTGTGTTTGCACAAAGTGGTTTTTGTTCAGAGAGGCTCTGTGGCTGAAATCCATCACCTTGTGTCACATCCAATTGCATCACTGCCCTGATACAGCCCACACTTCAAAGGCTTGTTTTCCCAGATTAAATAATTAGTCTTACTTTCCAGATCCCTTCCTATCTGTGACATCCCAGCTTAGGCAGTAGCATGGCTCAGGTTTTAGTGTCTTTGCTTGCTTGAAGCTGCTATTTTCGTTGCTCTCTGTTGAGTTCCTTCCCACCACACTTCCATGGCTGAGATGACTTTTGCCTGTCCAGGAATGGGGGAATTTCATCTTTTGCCATCATTACAGCTGCTGAAATTCTACTGGAGTTTAAGGGCTCTGCTCCATATGGGCAGAAAACTTCCAGTGGAAACTAAGCAAGGGCAAGTGCAAAGAAAATACTTATTTTTGTGAGCACGACGTTGTCCAGAGGGAAAATAATTCTTAGTGTATTCAGTGCAAAGTGTTTCAATTTTGAACTATGATGTGAGTCTAGAAAAGTTTGAGTAAATACATCCTCTCACCTTTTTGTCACTGAATCACAGTTGAGTTGGGAGGGACCCACAAGGACCATCCAGTCCAGACACCCCAACAACCCCACCCTGTCCCTGAGAGCATTGTCCAAACCCTCCTGGAGCTCTGGCAGCCTTGGGGCTGTGCCCACTGCCCTGGGGAGCCTGGGCAGTGCCCAACCACCCTCTGGGGGAAGAATCTGAGCTCCCAGTTCTCCCTGTGGATGAGTTGGTGCCCACAGTGCCTTGGTGGTGACACTTTTTAGACGGATTCACTTGTAACGTCTGGGAGAGACCTGCCCAGAGAACGTGGGTAGAAAATGGCCAGAATGGAGCATTTTGCTCATCTTTTTAGGGTCATTCATCAACAAATCCCTTTCATTTGCCAGTGGCCTTTGTGACTGTGCATAGAACAGAACAAGACCCAAATCTGCCGTGTCCACGGGGTGAGAGGTGGGCTCTGACCTTGCCTTTGGTTGCACAGAGGGCTCAGAGTGGCCTTGAGGGAGGAGCCAGGGATTCTCCAGGCAGGAGAGGATGCAGAAGTGTGGCTGGCTGGAGACACTCCCCCGGAGGTGAAGGACCCCTGAGGGATCATTACGAGCTGTTTGACTCACAGTTGTCTGAACCTGCAATAAATTATATTCGTTTCTTGGCCCAGGGGGGGATGTTACAAGCCCCAGCCGTGTCCTGGGGTGCGTTTGCTCTTTCTGGCAGGAGCCCGACGTGCTCCAGCCTGAACCCAAATATCCTTTTTCTGCCATCCGTGAAGAGATCTGCTTATCTTCCCAAATTACACAGCTCAGGTTTAAATGGGAGAAAAAGCAGCAGGCCAGAGAGCAGTTCCTCTTTGGAAACCAATCCAAAGAGACCGTGAGCACTTCCAAGGCTTTGCAGAAAGGAGCCACACTAGGTTGCAACAGGCAGATGTTTTCCATATGTTGCTCAAGTGAAACTTAAATCCACGGAGGCAGGCGTGTACAGCACTGGGGGGTTATGGATTTTGGTATGAGCCTGGCCTTCAAATTGAATTATGCACAGACATCTTCAGGAACCGTGTGAGAGAGGGTTCAGCTCTGCCTGCAGTCGACTCTCCCTGGCTCCCTTCTCCTCCTGGAAATGGCATCCTTAACTATTTCTGTGCAAGTGCCTATTTAGTTCTCTTAACAACCAACTATTCTTTCCATGTGTTGCCTATTTCATGTGAAAGCCTGAATCTCAACAAAGGA